TGCATCATCAAAATTTCACAGTTTCATAAAAACCACAATTTTACAATAAATCATTAAATTTAAGGTGCTATTTTTTAAAAAAATATTTTTAAATGATGCAATTTTAAAAAAAACCATCAAACAGTTAAAGAAAATAGATTTCCAGGGGAGAACTGAGTAATTTTTTTTAAAGGGGGCAATAGGCCAAATAAGTTTTTTAACCTCTGTTCTACATTAAAGGCTCAGAAGGCTCAGAATGTGATATTCTGGAGGGCAAAGGAGCTGGGATTAAAACCAAGAATCACCTACCCAGCAAAACTGAGTATAATCCTTAAGGGGAAAAAATGTATATTCAGTGAAATAGAGGACTTTCAAGCATTCCTGATAAAAAGACCAGAGCTGAACAGAAAATTTGACTTTCAAATATAAGACTCAAAAGAAGCATAAAAAGGTAAACAGGAAAGGGAAATCACAAGGGACTCAATAAAGTTAAACTGTTTGCATTCCTGCACGGAAAGATGATACTTGTAAGTCACAAGACCTTTCTCATTATTAGGGTAGTTAGAAGGAATATATATAGACAGAGGGCACAGGTATGAGTTGAATATGAAGGGATGATAACCAAAAAAATAAAATTAAGGTGTCAGAGAGGATGCACTGGGAGAAAGGGAAAGAGAGAGGTAGAATGTATCTCACATAAAAGAGGCAAGAATAAAAGCTTTTACAATGGAGTGGAAGATGGGGGAAATGAGGGGGAGTGAGTTTTCAGATGAAGTAATCAAAGCTATCTATAGCCATATGAAAAAATGCTCTAACTCACTATTGATTGGAGAAATGCAAATTAAAACAATTCTGAGGTACTAACCTTATACCTATTAGATTGGCTAATAGGACAGAAAAAGAAAATAACAAATGTTAGAGGAGAAGTGGGAAAAATGAGACCCTAATGCACTATCAGAAGAGCTGTGAACTGATCCAATTATTCTGTAGAGCAATTTGGAACTATGCCCAAAAGGCTATAAAATCATGTATAACCTTTGATCCAGCAATATCACTACTAGGTCTATATTCCAAAAGAGTTAAAAAATAAAAAGGAAAATGACCTATATGTACAAAAATATATATAGCAGCTCTTATCTGATGGCAAAGAATTAGAAATTGAGGGGATGTCTAACAACTGGGGAATGGCTTAACAAATTACGGTATGTGATTATGATGGAATACTATTGTGCTGTAAGAAATGATGAGCAGGATGCTCTCAGAAAAACCTGGAAGAACTTACATGAACTGATGTAAAGTGAAATGTACTGGGTACAAAGTAATAGCAATATCATAAGATGATTAACTGTGAATGATTTAGCTATTCTCAGTAATATAGTGATCCAAGTCAACTCTGAAGGACTTAGGATGAAAAATATTATCAGTCCCCAAAGAAAGAACTGAAGGTATCTGATATAGAATGAAGCATATTTTTTTACTTTGTTTTTCTTGAGCATTTTTTTGGTCTATGTTTTCTTTCACAACATGACTAATATGGAGATGTTTTGGATGACTACACATGTGTAACCTATATCAAACTGCTTGCTTTCTCAATGGTGGGGGGGGGGAGTGGGAGAAAGGGAGAAAGAGAGACAGTTTCTAAAACAAATATTAAAAAATGTTTTTACATGTATTTGGGGGGGAAATAAAATACTAAATAAGTTTTTAAAAATTTTTAGATGCCATGCCATTTGGTACATTTGTTTCATGTTTATATTAATTTGTTGCATATTGTACCTTTCAGCAAAATGTAATTTACCTTTTTATCTCTTTTAACTGTTTTTGCTGTTCTTTTGACTGAGAACATAATTACTACCCCTGTCTTTTTTTCACTTCAGCTCCAGCATAATAGACTCTGTTCTAGCCCCATATATATAATCATTCTGTTTCAAGTGTGTTTCTTGTAAATAACATATTGTTAGATTTTATTTTCTAAACCATTCTACTATCCTCTTTTATTTTATGGATGAGTTCATTCCAATCACATTCAGTTATGGTAGTTAAATTGTGTTCCCCATCTCCACCCCCATCCTATTCTCTTATACTTTTCCTTTTCTTTTTTTCCCACATTCTCTTCAGGAGTTTGTTTTTCTTCGAACCCTCCTTTAGTTTACCCTTCCTCTTATCCTCCCTTTTCCCTACTGTTTCCTTATTGGGTAAAATGTATTTTTGTACCCAACTGTGTACATTTAACTATTCTTCACTCCTCTATTTCTTTTTTCTCTTTTTTGGGGGTGGGGTGGGGCTGGGCAATGGGGTTAAGTGATTTACCCAGGGTCACACAGCTAGTAAGTGTTATGTACCTAAGGTCAAATTTGAACTCAGGTCCTCCTGAATCCAGGGCCAGTGCTGTATCCACTGTGCCACCTAGCTGCCTCTCCTCTGACTATTTCAAAAGAGAATTAGATTTAAGCCTTACCCATTTACACACACACAAACACACACACACACACATACACACACTCCTTTTGATATAAACTTCTACTTGCACACACCAATTATGTGAAATAATTTGCTCCATTCTTCCTCTCTCTTCCCTTTCCTCACCCAAAGTGTATTCTTCTTTCCATCCCTTTCCATTCTTCTTTTAAGATGATCAAAACATAGCAGAATCACTCTCTGTCTGATTAGTCGCCATTTATGATCCCTAATGATGGGGTAATACATTTATCATCTCTCTATTTTAGGATGTAAACAGCCTAACCTTGTTTATTCCCTTATTACTGCCCACTCATTTTTGCCCTTTTATTCTTCTCTTGACCCCTGTGTGTATATTTCAAAGTTTGTACTCACCTCTGGCCTTTTTATCAGAAATACTTGGCAGTCCTCTCTCTCATTAAAAATCCATTTCTCCACCTGTTGGATTATACTGTTTTTTAAAAGGAGGTTATTTTTGGCTGTAAGGCTATATTTTCTGCCTTCTGGAGTACCATATTCCAAGCTCTCCATTCTTTGATGTTGTGGCTGCTGAATTGTGTGTGACTAGTTGTGGCTCTTCAGAACTTGACTTTTTTTTTTCTTTCAGTCTGCTTGCAGTATTTTTTCCTTGACCTGAAAGCTCTGGATTTTCACTATAATATTCCTGGGAGTTTTCATTTGTTCCCCCAGAAGGGAACAGTGAACAGTGAACAGTAGAAGTGAACATTTTTATTCTGGCTTCTGCTCCTAAGAGATCTGAGTAGTTTTCTTTTATGATTCTTTGAAATGTGATATCTAGCTCTTTCTTTAGTCATGCATTCAGGTAGTCCAGCAATTTTAAAATTACCTGTCCTCAATCTGATTTCCAGGTCTGTTGTTTTTCCTACAAGATGTCTTATATTTTCTTCTATTTTTTCAGTCTTTTTGTTTTAATATTTCTCATTGCCTCATGGATTATAACTTTAACTTCTTTTTAATCAACTTTAACTTTCAGGAAGTTATTTTCTTGGGCAAGCTTTGCACTCTTGTTCCAAGTTACTGATTCTCTTTCCAAATCTTTCTTCTATAGCTCTCATTTCTTTTCCCATTTTTTTCCTCCAGTATTTTCATATTGTTTTCATCAACATTTCTAGCTTTCTGTTTTTTAAAACTCTTGTTTTATCTCCTCCAGCAAATTTGATTAGATTTGTGCACATTCTGTGATTTTTTTTAAGACTTTACTTTTAAATATTTTGAAGTCATTCTCTTTTGGGGGGTTCTTGTCTTGAATATCCCTGGTACTATAATATCTTTTTATGGTAGGATTCTCTTTGTTTTTTGGTTTGCTCATTCTTCCAGCGTATTTCCTGATTTCAGTCCTTATATCAGGAGCAAGTATCTGCACACTACTGGGGATAATGTCTGAACTGAGCTTTTGTCTTCTTGGATCCTTCTGCTGCTTTTGGAAATTAATTAAAAAGTGCTTTATTCTGGAATCTCAGGGGCAGCTCAGGCTGGGAACTTACAAGCTTTCAGTGCTCCAAAAGTGGTGTGGTTCAGGTAAAGTCTGCTCCCTGCCCTCTTCGTCTGAGCTCTGCAAACTCCTGCTGCTGGCTTTGGCCATTATCAACAAGCTACTCCTCTATAGTCTTCAGCCTGGCCTGGAGACACCATTCAGGTCCTAGATTCAAAGCCATACAGCTATTTGCTTCTGAACTTATTCCTAGTTCAGCACACAGCCTCCAATTATCTACTTCTCACTCTGGAACACGATCCATAAGTAGAGAGCTTCTCCTCAGTCTTCTCTGTATCTGTTAACCAGAACTCAGTAGTGAGTAAAAGAGCTGCCAATTGGCACCTGTTCTCACATCCTACACAAGGTCTAGGTGCCGCTGGATCAGTCTGGAATCTCTTCTTTCCATGGCACAAATCCTCCATCCTCTTTTCATTTTCTGTATGCTGTAATGTTCCACCGTCTGAGTGCTGGGTAAGAGCAGTGTGGAATTCCAGATTGAGTTAGAAATGATAAAGGTTGGGGCAGCTAGGTGGCACAGGGGATAGAGCACCTGCCTTGGAATCAGGAGGACCCAAGTTCAAATCCAGCCACAAACACTTAACACTTAGTAGCTGTGTAACCTTGGGCAAGTCACTTAGCCCCAATTGCCTAGCCAAAAAAAAAAAAAAGAAAGAAAGAAATGATAAAGTCTCACTAATCAGAAAACTAAGTCCTCAGTAAAGTTGGTGAAGTGCTAAGTATGAAGTGGAGGAGCATGGCATGAGGATGGCACCATGGGGTTTAAATTGGGCTAAAAATGGTGCAGGCTCGCTAATCCAAAGCCCAGATCCCCAAGTGAGCAAGTTAAGTGATAGATAGGAAGTAAAACCTGGAGTACAGAAACACAGTGTGAAAAAGGCCCAGGAGTATATGGCTATGTGTGTATGGATCTGGGTCTTCAGAGAATCTTTAATAGAGATATTTACTCTAATTTAGAATTTGTTGAAATAAACTGAATTGAGTCTAGCTTTGAAGTTGTAAACCCTGAAATATAACCAATAAAACTACTACAACTGATTTTTGTTTCTAGGATAAGATACGTGAGATTATTTCTGCCAATAATGTTCCTTGTTGCCATCTTGGGCTTTCTAGAGATGCTCCAAGGGAAAAGGGTAATTGTCACTGGTGCCAGCACAGGCATTGGAGAACAAATAGCCTATCACCTAGCACGGATGGGAGCCCACTTGGTGGTGACAGCACGGACTGAGGCAAAGCTGAAGAAAGTAAGAAGCATCAGAAAACTTCTACACTCATAGACGTACATGGTCATTCACCCAACACACATATATATTCACAAAATAACATATACAATATATAATATATATGTGTTCTATGCTAAACCCTCAAACACATTAAATAGTGAATAATGTCGACGCACAATTATTTATTCAGAATTAATTTACCAACAAAAATATACATTCACAACTTCCTTACTTCCCTGATTGAATGATAAACTCTTAAAAGGCAAGACTTTGTCCTAACTTTCCTCTGTAATCAACTCATTCCTCTAAAATGGCACTATGCACCCTATGGTAAAATCCTAATAAAGATCTAAAGAAATTAATAATTAATAAATCAATCAGTATGCATTTACTATGCACCTATTACATGCTAGGCACTGGGAATACAAAGTCAAAAACCAAAACAACCCCTGCCCTGAAGGAGCTTACATTCTAATGCTACATACATACAAAGTAAATACAAGTGATTTCAGAGGGTTGGTCCTAGGCACTAGTGGTTGGGAAAATCAGGGAGGTTGGAGGTACGTGAGTTGGGCTTTGAAGGAAGCTAAAGAGGCAGAATTTATGATAATTTGCCACTGCAGGTCATCTCTGAATGTTTGAAACTAGGAGCAGCCTCAGCACACTTCATCCCTGGAACCATGGAGGACTTAGTTTTTGCAGAGCAAGTAGTCACTAAGGCAGGAAAGCTGATGGGTAAGGTTGAACCCTGCTCTTCTTCTTCTGGGGAACTCCCTAGATCTATACAGGGGATGGCTAAAAAGTCAAGAAAAGGCTCTGAATTTAAATGGTTTCTCTTGCCTGACCCTTACAGGGGGATTGGACATGCTCATCCTCAACCATATAGCACCTGTAAATTTGAGGTTTTTTAATGGTGATGTTGCCAGCATTCGCAAAGTAATGGATATCAACTTCTTTAGTTATATAACCATGACATCAGCTGCCCTACCCATGCTGAAAGTCACCAATGGAAGCATCGTGGTGGTCTCCTCAATAGCAGGTAAGTGAGGAATGATAGAGAGGAGAGTGAAAGACAGGAAAGGACCCTAGTTGATCTGATTTTACTAGAAACTACTTCCCTAAATTCAGTGTAATAGAATCTGTGGGGAGAGGGAAAGTGTCAATTCATCTATGTTTATTTTTAAGCAGGATTGATTAACAAAGAGGCAATATGACATGCCTGGTGGAGGTACCAGTATATGGCCTGGTGAGTGAATTCTGTAGGGGGAATGGATGAAGAGAAAGAGGGAGCTACCAAGGGAAAGTACTGAATCAAAAATTTTGATTTGGTGAAAGCTGATGATCTGTTGGGAACAGCCATAAAGAAAGGTTGGAAAGAACATATGGGGAGCAGCTCAGAGCTGACCAGAGGCTAAGTGCCCAGGAAACAGTGGGACTAGTCCAGGAAGATATCAGTGAATGACAGATTGGACATCCTTTCTGGATATATGAGGACCATTTGAGATTTATTCTTCTCTGGCAATAATCTTAAGTGAGGCTTAGAAATGCCAGAAAGCCTTGTGATATTAATGCCTTGAATAACTAGGATTGCAGAGAGGGAAAAGCTTCACCTGAACTTGGGTATCCAAAACAGAAAAGAAAGGGGGAAATCCCGCCAGGCAGTGAAGTAAGGAGTAGCTAGAAGTGTCTGATTGCAGTATGTGTGGTGCTGAGTACAGCAAACTGAATTGATCAAGAAGTCAAGTCCACAAGTCAACAAACACCTGCTGGGTGCCAGGCCTTGTGCTAAACAGTGGGGATACAAAAAAAGGGAGAGGGAAAAAAAAACAGCCAGCCTCTGTTCTCAAGGAGCTCACAGTCTAGTAGGGAAGATTTTACACACACACACATTATGTATGTATATGTATGTACATATGTGTATGTATATGTACATATGTGTATTACGTATGTATATGTTCACATACATATACATGTACAAATATATACAAACATAACTGGAGATATCAACAGAGGGAAGGCTTTAAAGGAGATTGGGGGGAAAGTTATCATTATTCAGCATTCAATTCAGTCAGTCAGTAAACATTTATTAAGTACCTACTGTGCGCCTGGCACTATGCTAAGTGCTAAAGATACAAAAGGAGTTAAAAAACAGTTCCTGCCCTCAAGGAGCTCACAATCTAATCAGCTAGACAATAAGCAAATAAATATGCACAAACAAGCTCTATACAAGATAAAAAGGAAATAATTAAAAGAGGGAAGATACTAGAATTAAGAGGGGTTGGGGGAGGCCTCCTATTAAAAAAAACCAGATGTTTAGTTGGAACTTAAAGGAAGTAAGGGAAGTCAAGAATTCAATAAAGATTTATTAAGAATGTACTAGGGGATTCAAAGGCAAAAAAGGAACAGCCCTCATCAGTAGATGATAGATAGATAGATGGATAGATAGATGGATAGATAGATAGATAGATAGATAGATAGATAGATAGATAGATAGATAGGTGCAGATTCCCCTCCCCCCCACCACTCACTCCAGAGTTAGTTCCCACTTCCTTAGAAACTACTTTGTATTATAGACAAACTCTAGGGTTGAGGAATGGGGGAAAATCAGGAAAAACCTCTTGGAGGAGTTGGAATTGGAACTGAGATTTAAGGCTGAATAAAGATTCCAAAAGGCAAAGGAGAGAAGATAGAGCATTCCTGGTGTGGGGAATAAGAGCCCTTGCCATGGCATGGAGGCTGGAAATGGAAGGTCATCTGTGGAAAACTTAGAGGTTATGAGAAAAAGTAGTGTGAAATCATAATAATGCCTCACATTCATGTTTTATATACAAATTTACTTTCACTAAAGTCTTTCCCAGACATTATTTCATTCAATCCTCAAAAGATACCTTCAGGAAGTTATTATTTTACAGAAAAGACAAAAGAATTAATAACCTGCCTAAGATTATATATAGCTCCTTAAGTGGTATGAATAGAACTCAAACTCTACTTTTCAGAATTTCTTTTCTATTTTTATTTCTATCTTTTTTATTTGTCATGCTCAATTTTTCTTCTCTGGCAGTAATTTCTTCTTCTAGACTGAAAACTTCACACTGAGAAATGGTGGGTGGCACAGGAGGGAACTGGTCTTGGAGTAAGAAAGACCTAGGTTCAGGTTCCCATACTGACATACTGGGGGACCTTAAGCAAGTCTTTTAATCTCACTCTTTCAGAAGAAAATTTCTTCAATGGAAGTTCCCTACACCAACAAAATCAGCATTTGAAACCAAAAATAAATATTTAGCTGCTCCCTTGGGTACCTTTAAAGCTTCAAGTTTGTCATGGCAAAAATGTGTGTGTGTGTGTGTGTGTGTGTGTGTGTGTGTGTGTGTGTGTGTACATGCAATTTCTCTTTTCTATTGATTTTTTAAAAACTGTTATATATCTGGAGGGACTAGAAAGAAGAGATGATGGTATTTTCCAGGCAGAAATGGGGGTTTATGGTAGCAGAGGCAAGATGGTAGAGTGGTAGGAACTAGTGAGACAAGTTCTTCTTCACAAGTATCCTTTGTACCAGGGCTTCTTAAACTTTTTCCACTCATGACCACTTTTCATCTGAGAAATTTTTGCAAGACCCCAGGCATATAGGTATATGAAATAGATATACAAATCAAACATATACTAATAATAAATCACAAAGAAATTTATTTTAAAACAATTCTTTGGTATACATATAACTTTACCATTTATTAAAGAAAAAGGCAAATTTGCATACTAATGAGATGAATGTACTTGTTTATTTTTACATAAAGAATTAAATTTTGGCAGAATATTTGACACTGCAGGACATAGATCATCTTCAACATTTTTCAGTTGATAGATATTTTGATTTTATAATGGTCAATGCTGAGAACTCTGCTTTGCAAAAAATACATAGTACAAAATGGCAGAAGTATGTTTAGGGCCATTTCAGAAATTGTTGGAAAGTCAAAATTCATTTAACAATTTTGTATGTACAGTAGAAACACTGCAATTCATAACATACAGTAGTCTCAAATCTGAGCTCAGGTGTTTCTGGCTGTGTTCGTTGGCCTTACATGGCATGATAGCATGCACAGTGCAAAGTGTGCATGTTGTGCATTCAGAACCAAGGCTACAGTGAAGTTGCATGATGCAACAGGGACAAGAGCTGCTAGAAACACCTCAGATTCATTACACACTTGATTTTTAATTAATTTTTGGTCATTGCATGTTCAGAAACCTTTTACTTCTGCCAAATTTTTTTCAACCTTCACATTTTTGCAAACCCCCCCATATGGGGTCATAACCCACAATTTAAGAAGTGCTGCTTTTACTAACCTAGAAAATGCATCAGACTCAGTCGTGAAGGAGAAATAAAGAAAAAGTTACTGTGCGTTATTTGTCCAGCCCAGCTTGGCATAGGGAAACAGACAGGGATGTCTGTGGACACTGGAAACAAGGTCTGGCCAGGAGCACACAGATGGTGGAACTCTGTTGCCTAGGGAGAAGCTGCGGGGTATTGCTACAGGGATGGGTACAGGCTGGCAGCTTTGTTGCCCGCTACCTAGTTATGGGTCACAGACTCAACTTGTGTACAAATTGGCACACCTAGGTAGAGAGGCCTTAGGCAGTGTGCTGAGAAAGGAGGAAGTTCAGTTTGGGAGAAGAGGAATCTCTGAGGGAGGAATACTCCCTACCCAGATCTGGAGTCAAGAAGTGCAAATGAAGCCTCAGGCACTTACTAGCGGTATAACCTTGGGCAAGTCACTTAACCCTGTTTGCTTCAGTTTCCTTATTTCTAAAATGAGAAGGAAATGGCAAACCACTCCACTATATTCAGCAAGAAAACCCCAAATGGTATCATAAAGAGTCAAACACTACTGAAACACCTCAACAATAGCAGAGATTCAGGAAGGGCTTGGTCCCAAGCAAAACAAACTCTGAGGACGCACAAAAATATTTATAGCTCTTTGAGGTGGCAAAGAATGGGGATCTGAGAAGGGGCCCATAAATTAAGGAACAGATGAGCAAAGTATGGCATATAGATACTATAGAAAGGGGCAGCTAGGTGGTACAGTGGACAGAGTACTAGCCCTGAAGTCAGGAGGACCTGAGTTCAAATCCTCAGACCAAACACTTGACACTTAGTAGCTGCATGACCCTGGGCAAGTCACTTAACCCCATTGCCTCAAAATAAATAAATAAATGCTATGGAAAATTATTGCGCTGATCTTTTATCAGCATAATGACCAGCTACAATTCCAGAGGATTAATAATGAAATATGCTATCCATATCATGATAGAGAGATGAAGCACTCAGTGAAGAATGAGACAATTTTTTTGGACCCAGGCAATGTGGATATTGGTTTTGACTGACTATACATGTTTGTAACAGGTTTGGTTTTTCTTGTGTTCTCCCTTTGGGGCAGGAGGGGAAAGATGAGAAGACAGATTTTAGATGATTAAAACAGAAAATTTAAAAAAAAAAAGAAATGGGGGTGGACGGAAACAAACAATTCCTCAACTCCACATCTCATTCTCTCCAACCACATGGCCATGTTCTCTGATTAGGCAAGTTGAATCATTCACCCAACAGAAATGGAAAAGCAAATTTCCTCTCTCTTTAGTGACTGTGTGCACCTGTTTCACAGCTTGTTAATTTCTTAGTAATAAACATTTTCACTCTTCAGACCTGGAAACTGAGTAGAATAAAACAAAAAAGAAAGACAGACATACATATATATGTGTGTGTGTGTGTGTGTGTGTGTGTGTGTGTGTGTGTGTGTGTGTGTGTGTGTGTGTAAAAGGAAGAATTACAGAGTGTTGTCTGTCTCATTATAGGTGCTTAACAAATTCTAGTTGACTGGCTGACTGAATTAGTCTGGATGCTAAACAAAGCTCATTTAAACCAGGGGTGGGGAACTCGTGACCTGGAGGCCACATGTGGCCCTCTAGGTCCTCCAGTGTGGCCCTTTGACTGAATCCAAACTTCACAGAACAAATTTATTTTGCTTCAGTCAATTCAAAGGGACAAATTCAAAGGGCTCAGTCAAAGGGCTACACTGGAGAACCTAGAGGGCCACATGTGACCTTGAGACTGCAGGTTTCCCACCCCTGAACTCTGGCTTGACCCTGCTTCCAGGTGTGGCTGAATCTTCAACCCACTCTAAAACCTATTTCTGTATGTGAAGGGATTAAACTTGTTCTGCTTGCCTTGAGAGGGCAAAACTAAAAGTAATGGATGGGTATTATATAGAGGTTGGATTTTTAAGGGGAAACTGCAGAATGACCAGAGCTATTCAAAAGTAGAACAAACTGGGGGAATATAACAGGACCCTTCTCCCTAGGGATCTCCAAGCAGAGGGGAGGAGGACAGGTCAGTGATATTATTGAGGGAATTTCTGGTCAAAAATTACCTAGGCTAGATGGCCTTTGATGGCCCTTCCATCTCTGAGATTCTGGAATTAAGCTTTCCCCAAATGACACAACTGGTTGAGAAGACAGATGAAATCAGCTGTTTCAGGGGTAAGAGGTATATAGTCCTCAATCATCCATTTCTGCTTGCTGTCTAGGGAAACTAATTACACCACTTATTGCTGACTACTCGGCAGCCAAGTTTGCTCTAGATGGATTCTATTCTTCACTGCAAAAAGAATTACAACTAATGAACGTCAACATATCCATCACACTCTGCATCCTTGGCTTCATAAACACAGGTGAGACCAGCACTGGGCGGTAAAACAGACAACAGGGAAACACCAGAAACGTTACAGCTTCTGGTAGTGACCTTATGTTATGCAGGATACACCTCTGATTCTGCTAACCCACCTTTTCATGTCTCTCCCTCTTCAGATTCAGCTGTAAAATCTCTTTCTGGGATTGTGGAAAATATAACTCCATCTCCAAAGGAGGAATGTGCAGTAGAGATCATTAAAGGGGGAGCTTTGCGTCAGAAAGTAATAGCTTACCCATCCTCTATCTATATCTCAATGTGGAATCCAATTCGAACAATACAGGAATATTTTATATTATTAACATACAACATAGATAACATTACAAGAAATCAACAGTTCTCTTAGCACTGGGAGCTTGGATAGGCACTTAGCCAGGACTGTAAGACTGTTTCATTGTTTTTCATAGAAGCAAAATCTCCAACAATATAGAAAGATAAATTCTGGACCTTTCGCAATGCCTCAGAGACATGAGACTAAGGGCATTGGCTGTGGTTAACCATCTAATGATGTGGCAGAAACAATGTGGCATGGCAGACAGAGAGATAGCTTCAGAGGCAGGAAGCCTTCAGGTCAAATCCTAATGTATACTGGCTGTGTGACTCTTGGCAAATCACTTACATTTTTCAGCACTCCGGCACCTCTCCAAGATTAAAAATTTCACAACAGCTAGTGAAGGGAGTACCTCATACAAGAGTTCTCCACACTGATGAAATCACAAATCAAGACCAAAAAAAAACCAAAACAAAACCCTAAACTAATACTCTCTCACGAAACAGAATTTTTGAGGTCACCAGCACCCTTTTTCTTCAGATTTCATCATGGTTCAGACTAAAAGTTTGGAAGTAAATCATCAGGGTAGAAGGAGAAGGGGAGGGAATAAACAAAGATTTTGCCAATAAAAAAATTTTCCAAAAACTGTGTTTCTTTTTTGTATCCCAGAGCCCCTTCAAATGTAAGTCCCTAAAAGCTCCATGGTACTAGGCATAAGCATTTGGGTCAGCATTTATTCAAAACCACTGATGTTTCTTTTTTATCAGAAAAAAAAAACACTAATTCATCGCAAATGGCAGTTAAACAGCATCACAAAATGACTAATAAAGAAAATCCCCTCAAATTCATTGGGGCACACTCAACTGCAGATTCCCACACCGGCAAGTGAAGAGGAGAAAATGCACAGAGAACACACATGGTGAAGGAACATATCGTTATGGTTTCATCCCATCTGAAACTTCCTTTTGCCTCCAAAATTGCTACTTGCTTCATACACTCAGCTGCTAATGTCATCTGCTACTTTGGACATAATCTGCTGGGCTTATTTGTGGTTTGTCCTTTGTTCCCAAAGAAAACCATGACATCAGGGAGATGATGCCATGACTTCCAGTTTATTTTGATTTGAGTGAGAGAGGGCTGTGCAAAGTCACTAGCCTCACTTTCTCCTCCAGAGCCATATCGGTCCAGTGGCCAGATCTCGATAAGGATGACTGGAGATGGCTCAGCATGCACTGGGAGGCCTTGGCCCTCTTAAGCTAAGGTTTTTCCAGGTTCTCACTTTGAGTGAGTCAATGGCCATTCAGTGAATAGGCCTCTTTAAGATGTGAGTCAAGGGATGGCCCCTTTAATAATAAAAAAAAAATCAAACAGGGAGGGGAAGACCCTCAGGGTTGCTGGCCAAAATAGAAACAGTTACTATTTACATTCACTTTGAGCCAGGAGGGCTTAAAAAATAACCATGAAGTGGTACTTGGGCAGAGATCTATTGTTGTCCAATCCATGAGATCCAGATGTCATGGTCCTTTTCAAGAATGAAGGTCAAACCACATTCTACTTTATCTACCAAGCAATAAATTGTTGTTTGTCTGTTTGTTTTTCCACTGAGCTGCAAGGTACATAAGTCATTTCTTGGGCTATTTTCTCTGCTTTACTAACATCTGTTGGTTCCCTGGTGAGCTGTTGAGTTGTCATATGTTGATTTTCAAATGAGCTGCTGCCATCTTCTGATTATCTGTTGAATTGCAGATACTAAGCATTTCCCCCTTTTCTGTTGGAGAGCAGTCACAATTCTTTTCGTGCCCCTACCCCATACAGAAGGGGAAGGGAAGAAGCATTTATACAGCACATTCTATGTGCCAGGCACTCTGCTAAGTGCTTTATGAATATTATTTCATTTGATCCTCACAACAATCCTGGGAAGTAGGTGTTATTATTATCTTCATTTTGCAGTTGAGGAAACTGACAGGTTAAATGACTTGACCAGGATCAAACAGCTAGTATCTGAAGCAGTATTTGAACTCAGGTCTTCGTGACTCTAGGCCCAGCATTCTATCCACTGCCCCATCTAGCTGTCTTTAGCCCTAAGGCTATCACAACCCTTTTGTAAGTCAGACTCACAACCATATCCAGCCAGCCTGCCACAATTCTTTGTCGAATCTATCTTTGAACTCCTTTGCTTCTGTCTCAGCAAAATCTCTCCTAGACCAGTGTATTGGACTGAACTGAGAAAACTCCTTTCAATTATCATCATGCCACTAACCAGTAGAACGGAGCCACACAAATTACTTTGGAGTTTCACTTATCAAGACCTGTAGGCTAGGGATGAGCTAGAAATCTTTGCCCTTCATTCCTACCAGTATAAAATGTACTATTTTTCCTATACTCGCCACCCCATTTCCCAGTAAGAAAGGCAGGAAACCTGACAAATAAAACTAGGTACTAAAGTGTATTTGTTAATGGATTGAAGAAAAGTTTATAGATGTACTTCATAAATATTCATAAATTGGCATACAACATAGTCCAAAGACAATTTTATGAATACACAGAATTCAGATATCAATCTCAAACTACATATAGACATAGATTTATATACGATTTATATGTAGACATATCCACTTTGGAATTGCTTAGCAAAAAAGACTATATAGTATATAAAGTCATAATATACATAGCAAATGTTTTGTGGATCAAATGTATAGATTATATGTAATCATTCAATCAACAAACATTTATTAAGTACCTTTTATGTGCTAGTCACTATGCTGGGTGCTAGAGGTACAAAGAAAAAAATGAAACCTTACCTGCTCTCAAGGAGTTTATGTTCTACTGGGCATATGACAATGCATACATAAACAAGTGTATACAAATCATCTTACGTTTGTGCATTTCAGCCCAATACCTCCAACCTAGCACTTCAGTTCCCACCTATGGGCCCTACCATTGCTATATCTAGCCCAGATTCAGGCTGTTTCATTAGGCTGTTTCTCAAGTCATCATCATGCCATGCTACCAAGAGCAAAGACCCTCCTCTCCACTTTCTATTTCTAACTCTGAAGAGCTAGAAACAACAAACATCAAAACAACAGTGCCATTCCTGGAGAGGACAGGTCAACCAAATGCCATTGTAGGCATCATTTACCATCCCTGTGACTTCCCAAACCAAAATACAACCTCCTGGCCAACACTCTTCTATATGTGTTGTCTTCTCCTGTTTGAATAAATATCTTTGAAGACTGGGACTATCTCTTTTACATTTGCATCACCAGCGCTCATCATAGGGCATGGCACACAGTAAATGCTTAATAAGTGCTTTTTGCATTCATTCATTCAACATAAATGAAAGGTAATTTGGAGGAGAGAGATATTAGCAGCTGGGGAGATCACAAAAAGTCTAGGGTTGAAAAAAGAATATAAATTGAGACTTGAATAATACTGAAGGTTCTAAGAAGCAGAGGAGAAGGGAATGCACTCCAGGCATGGGGGACAGTACATGGATAAATGAATGAATGAATGAATGAGCATTTATTAAGTGCTTACTGGATGTCAAGTACTGTGCTAAGTGCTGGTGACAAAATTGAAGAGCAAGACAGTCCCTATTCAAAAAGCTGGTTATCTTATTTGAAGAAAATAATACCTCTAAAAATTGTAGGGGAAAAGGAAAAAAAGGCAGGGAAAAAACATTTATATAGAGTCTACTATGTGCCTGGTATTGTCCTAAGGCCTTTATAAATATTATTTCATTTGATCCTCATAACAACCCTGGGAGGTTATTATTATTCCCACTTTACAGTTGAGGAAACTGAGGCAAATAGCAATTAAATGACTTGTTCAGGGTCACACAGCTACTAAGTGTCTGAGGCTGGATTTGAATTCAGGTCTTCCTGACCCCAGTCACAGAGCTCTGTTCAATGAACCACCTAGTTGCCTCAATATATATATGAGAATTTATGTTCAAGATGGATGGAAAGACCTGAAAGTCCTAAGTGTACATCAGGAGGGCAGATGTCAATCCCCAAAAGTCTTTAGGATTATAAAATCATAGATTTTGAGCTGGAAGGGACATGAGAGACCATATAATCAAATCTTTTCATTTTACAGATGAGGAAACTGAGGCCCATAGAGTTGATATGAAAAGGTTATACAACTAGTAAGTTGCAGCATCAGGATCTGAGCCTAGGTCTTCTGGATCCAAATCTAGCACAGATTCCATTGCATCACATTACCTCTAAGATGCATCTGTAGATCGGATAACAGTGTCCAGAGGCCTGGGTGATATAGCAACAAGGCAAATGATAAGGCCTTGAGGTCTTACTGGAAGACATAGTTGCTGATTTCTCACTCTTCCAAACAGTGTGAGCAGCAATATCCCTTCTTCAAGATAGTGGGGCCTGGATGGGATCCTCCCACCACCACTGGCAAAGGAAAAAGGGGCCTAAGGGTCTTTAGAGGACTTTGTCATGGATTACCTTCTCCCTATCCTCCTCACTTGGCAATCTCATCATCTCCCATAGGGTTAATTATCATCTATATGTAGATCACCCCCACATCTATATACCCAGCCCCAATATCCTCGTGAGCTCCAATACCATTGCATTAATTATTAGGCATTTTGAACTATATTACTTTCTCTGTGAGTGAAAGGGGAATCTCTTATTGGTGCCAATCAGCTCTTTGTCTAAAAAGACATAAATGCAAAAACTAGCACACATTTCCATTTCCTGAATGACTCTATTTTGTGCCACTTTCTAAGGGGGATGGGGGATGTACACAGATTGTTCCTTGTTGGCACCTCTTCATCTGTTCCCCTTGTGTGTAATAATATTTTGTGAATTGCTATTCCTATTTGTCTTTGCTACTCTTCATTGGAACTTTCCTGCACTGTACACACACACACACACACACACACACACACACACACACACTGAGTATCCCAAAAGTCTAAACGAAGACTTTTAGGACACCACTAAACTGCCAAAGAATCTGTGACAAAAAAAAAAAAGGTTAAGAATACCTGATATACATAAAAATGGGAAAAGGACCCACATGTACAAAAATATTCATAGCAGCTCTTTCTGTGGTGGCAAAGAACTGGAAATTGAGAGGATATCCATCAATTGGGCAATGGCTGAGCAAGTTGTGGTACATGAATGTAATGGAATACTATTGTGCTATAAGAAATGATGAGCAGGCTGACTTCAGAAAAACCTGGAAAGACTCGTATGGTCTGATGCTGAGTAAAGTGAGCAGAACTAGGAGAATGTTGCATACAGTAACAGCTACATTGTGTGATGACTAACCTTGATAGACTTAGCCTTCTTAGCAATGAAAGGATCTAAGACATCTCCAAAAGTCTCATGATGGAAAATGCTATCTACATCCAGAGAAATAACTATGGAGTTGGAATGCAAGTCAAAGCATACTATTTGCTCTTTTTTTTCTCTTCTGTTCTGTTTTGTTTCTCTTTTCTTGTGGTTCCTCCTATTGGTTCTAATTCTTCTTTACAACATGACTAATGTGAAAATATGTTTAATAGGAATGTATAGGTAAAGCCATCTTGGGGAGGGAGTTGGGAAGGGAGGAGGAGAAAATGCAAAACTCAAAAGCTTGTGAAAATGATTGCTGAAAATTAAAAATAAATTAATAAA